ATATACATATAATCTAGTTGTTAACATATGATAACTAAAATAGTTGTTGTTAATATAACTAAAATGCTGCTATTTTAACTAAAATAACATTATTATCATATTTATTTGATAATATTTATGTATTAAATATTTTCCATTTTGTTATAACATAAAAAAATTAACTTAAACAACATTAACATTAAGGTTTAACGTTAACAATATTATTTAACAACATTATTTACATTTATGTTAACAACATTACTTGTGTTATGTTAACAGATTACCAGTTAACTGCTAATGTCATGTGATTTTATTTAAACCTATATTTTACACATTTTTTTTAGACTAATGTTATTATTTTATATAATTAATGTTATTATGTTATAATTTTTATAACTTCATAATAATGTTGTTAACGTAACTAAAATAATTGTATTAACATTTTAATACAATATATATAAAATAATAACATTAGTCTAATTAAATAAAGTCACACAACTAATTCATGTAGTAATGTACTACAAACCGAAGGTCTTACCTAATTTTTAACAACTGAAAATCGATATTTTCCTCGCTTAACATATTTAATACGATATTACTAAAATATTACAAACCAAATATTTTTTTATGAAAAAGTTAACTATGTATGTGTTTAAAATTACCATGCAGCAATAAAAGTTAACTAAAATTTTCAGTAAAACTGAAAATGGTTCTTAAAAAAAAACATGTCGCTAAAAACATGATTCTAGTCTCTTTTCCGAATAATTCGATACGAGAATCCAACAAAGTGCAACACTAAGTGTGGCTTTTTTTACGCATATAATGAAGTTTAATTTCATAATTACAAGTGTGGCTTTGAAGCGCACAAGTGTAGCTTTGAAGTACACTATTTGTGTAGCCAAAAAGACGCTACACTAAGTGTCGTGTTTTTTGTCCACACTATTTTTAAGCGTGTATATATATATATATATATATATATATATATATATATATATATATATATATATATATATATATATATATATATATATATATATATATATATATATATATATCAGGGGCGGACGCAGGTTTTTAATTTACCCCGTCAAAAAAATGCGCCTTACGCCATGTTGTAAGTGACGCAACTACGCCCACAAAGCAAATAGAAAAAATCAGGGGGGGGGAGGGGGAATAAGTAAGGCTATGTAGTTAAGGGGGTGGGCAAATTTTCTTTTCGTTCGATCCAAACGATTAAAGGGGGTGATTTACAGGTTTAACGATTTTTAAGCAGGCAAGCCGATAAAAAAAGAATTTAGACTACTCAATTTTATGCCACTTTTAAACAGCCTACCAAATTTACTTACGTTTTTACAAAATGTTCTTATAAAAAAACATCTAAGGGAGGCCATCGCTCCCATAGCCTGCCCCCTATGTATCCCCTAAATCTTCCTGCCCTTGGGCTGGAGGATTTAAAGGGATTTTCTGTTTGCTATTTCATTGAGAAGCTCATATCTTAGTTTTACTTTGAAACTTTTTTTCTATATAAATATATAATAAATATATAAACCAACAAATGATTGTGTCGCCCAATATCAGGGCTCTTCAGCATGTCTAGGAACATATTTATTCCGGACATGGACAATCAGAGAAAAAAAAATTAAGAACTGAAAAGAGAAAGACAAAAATACAAATGGATTTATATACATCGTGAAATAAAAAGTTATATATATTCTTATATAACAAGATTAAAAAAAAAAGACATACCAAGTTAAGCTTTAATAACATAAAAGAAGATCATTTTTGATGAAATAAAAAGAGAGCTAATGGTTTTGACAACTACAGCAAAAAACTGATTTAAATGGCACAAAAACTTATGAATATTATTAGGTTGATTGAGAGAAAATTTATTGAAAATATATTTTTTATTTTTTATTTTGTTGCTAGAAAATGATATAAAGAGATGGTTAATGTTTGCCTCAAAAAGAGATGGTTAATGTTTACCAATGGTCAAAAAGAGATGGTTAATGTTTGCCTGAACTATTATCACTAATCATATAGCTAATCCCAAACAAAAGTATGGGGTTACATTTAACCCGTCCTGTTAAGGACACTATTAAAGTCTTGGTCTTTCCAGGGGTTTCCATGCCTATTTGTTAGCTGTTATATGAAGAGAGGTGATAATAGACAAAAATTTCAAAAGTTGTTGGTGTGTTATAGAATAAACAGTATAGACACTAATCATTGAAATCAGGTCGTCTATTTTTTTATAGAAAATCTATTGATAACATTATCAATACAAGGAACAATTTCTTGATGGATATACATTAATGCCAAACCGTTAAGTCGATCTTCTGACATTGTTGTTCTCATATAGTCTTTTAACCGACGCATAACAGAAAAACTCCTCTCCCACTCACATGAAGTAACAGGAAGTGTCCCAAGTATCCTTAAAGCTATCTTAATATTTTCAAATCCAGAAAATGATATCGATTTAAGAGTTAAAGATATATTGTCAGGAATAGTCCTAGAGAAACTTTCCCAGTATTTTTCCCAAAGAACTAGTTCCCCATTCAAGGCACTGATATTAGGGAAATCATCTATATAAAAATCACAGAATGTTTCAAACTGCTTCCTCCAACACAATTGGGTTTTGGGTCTTTTAAGAAAAGAAATAATATTAAATAGAATAATTGATAACTCTTTATATGCAGCTACAGTTTCTGATTTAAATCTTGTAGATATAGATGTAGATACATGATCTATAAGAGGGATAGTAACAGCTCTTTTGAAGTATTCTGAAACAGACTCTGATGGAACATTAGAACGATTTTTTTGAATAGAACAGATTCTTGGTTTTAAAACAAAAATTTCACCTTTACTTGAAAGAAAACATGCTGCTTCATAGCAGTTATTATGAAAACTATCTATATCGTTTCTGATGGAAACTTTTTTATATCTTCTTTAGAGCTTGTTCCATACAACACTTTTAAGTTTAGTTTACGTTTGTAGTTTCGCGCCATCACTAAAAGAAACTGAAGTAGAATAATAAGTAATGCTCTGTCCGGAGTCACCCCGCTGTCCGAAGTCACCCCGGTTGACGGTATCATACATCTACAAAATTAGTGTTGGGTGAATTCTATTTTTGTTCAGAAAAAAATTGAATACTCAGATCTGAAAACAATTTCAAATCAAGATAAGACTATTCGAAATAAAAAAAAAAAATTATTAATTTGTATCGCTCAGATTTTTAGAAAAACAGTTTTGAAAATGTAAACAAATCACGCTTTTAACAGTCAGATAAATGTAGCAGAGAATTACAGTTTTTTATATATTTAAACATCTTTATATTATTTTTATCATTTTTGAATCAACAATTCAATTATCTTTATTATTATTTCATTCTATCAAAAATATACAAATAATAACTACTAGGTAAAACTTTAAAAATATTGTTGCTACTCAGAAAAAATTTTGGTATCTAAAGGCCGTCACCATCTTTAAAATTATAATATTTGAATTTGACACTGCGCTTGCGTATAATAACTTTCCACATCTAAACGACCGTGTAGGAAGACATTGAAAAATAGTTTCAAAATTTGTTGTTTCAAAAATTGTTTCAAAAATGTCTACATAAAATTATATATAACATTTTTTATTAATTTACACATTATTACATTGATTTACCCGTTGGTGTAAACAATCATTATAATTATTTTTATGGTTTTATTTAAAGCTTTTGCAATATATAAAAACTTTAGAAAAGATCAACAAATAAAAGTTATTCATAACGTAACACATTTTTTCACTGCATTTAAATTGTTAGACATGAAATAGTTGTGGTCAAGTTGTAAACAAAAAAAATATTAGAATGGTCAGTTACAGAGTACGATGGTACGCCATTCCTTTCCAAGCCTAACTTAATAGTCACCCTCTCTCAACTAGTGGTGTAGCTACCATATAGCAAAGTAAGGCAATGTCTCAGGGCCCAAGAGTTGAAAGGGGCCCTTTTAGCTTTGGCCACAGCACACAGCCGCTTTTATTTTTAATTTTATATAAACAATTTGAATACTTTATCTAGTTTACATTGCGATTCTAATTTTTTACTTTATAGTTAATTTTTACTTTCAGTTAATTAGTTCTCCCCTCCCTTTTTTATTTAGATTTCTCCTAATATGTAAATTACCAGTGTTTTCATTGATTGATTTTGAAGTTAACGCGCGTTTTTTCCGGACCGTTAGTAACAGTTAGAAATACTAACATTAACATGCACGTGTAGCGTCAAAAATATGTATTCGTAACAGTTGCTGAGGTTTTTATCATTGTTTAAATATCCATTGTATTTTTCTAATAGAAAAATACAAAATAGAAAATTTCTATTCATTGTTTTTTTTTTCTCCCTTTCTCTTAAGAAATTTACGTTTTCCGTTTTTCTTCTTTAGATTATCTGAATCATTCCAATAACCATATAGTGCTTTCTGTTTAGTGAGTTTAAAATTGTACAATTTATCCTGATCATTTCCATGTTATAAAAAAACATGGAACTTTTAAAGAGTAAAAGTGGGTTTCAAAAACGAAAACTTAAAAAACAGAGAGAAGAAGCATAAATAAATTACAAAAGCTAGACAAGTTTATTATTAAAAGTAATAATAATAACCAAGAAAGTACTCCAGATGATGCATCGATCGAATGTGAATGTTATGATGAGTTAAATATTTTAGAGAAAATTTATACAGAAGTGATTGCTTGTAAATCAACTAAAGCAGACTGTAGCGATGGAGAAATTAAAAAAATTTCAGATGAAATAGTTGACACTGAAGATGCTCAGGAAGTTTTAACAGGTATTAATGAAGAAAATATCATTTATACAAAAACCACTATATGTAGTGACCTAGGAAAATATTTAAATCAGAACATTTTTGATGAAACCAAAAGATTACTGATAAGCATTCCTGGTCACAGACCTAAAGGACCATTTCCCAAAGATCCTAGTTAACAGAACAGAAGCTTCAGTGAAACTTACTATTATTCTACATCAAACTATGGCCCAGTTCCACGATTATGGATTTGTTATTCAAGTATGTTGGACGCAGTATACTGTCAAAATTTGTTGGCTTTTTTCAAGCATCAAACTTCAATGGCAATCGGGGATAAAGGATTGGAAAAATTTATCACAAAAGATAAAAATGCACAGTTCATCCCAACATCACATTGAAGCCTGTGCGGTGCTCGAACTATGGAAGAAAAATAAAACCATCGATAAAAAAGCTGAAGATGAAATACGATATAGGGCATCATTTTGGCAGATGGTTCTAGAACGATTATTCCACATAACACTTATGTTATCAAAAAATTCTTTGGCATTTCGTGGTCACCTTGAAGGATTTACTGAGGATTATTATGGAAACTTTTTATCACAAGTTCAATTACTTTCTAACTACGACAGTGTCATAAAACAAATTTTAGAAATGCCATCTGGTTCAATCCGATACTTAAGTCCGACCACACAGAATGAACTAATACATTGCCTGGGAATAAAGTTATTGAATGACTTGTTTGCAAATATTAATTCATCACCATTTTATGCCCGAATGTTAGACACAACACAAGACATTACCAAGAGAGACCAATTAAGTGTTATAATACGGCATGTTCACATTGTTAGAAATGTAAATCAAGAACCAACTTATTTTAAAATTACGGAAACATTTTTAGGATTTTATGAAGTGAAGGACCATTCAGCAGAGGGATTGACTAATCAAGTATTGAAGTTATTGAAAGAATGACATATTCCAATTGAAAAGTGTTATGAGCAGGGTTACGATGGTGCTAACGTTATGAGTGGAGTTTACAGTGGTGTACAAACCAGGATTAAACAAATCTAAGCAAATGCTGAGTATGTACACTGTAACAGTCATAATTTAAGTTTGGTAATTAATGACTGCGTAAATGGTTCACATGATATCTTATTATTTTATGCTACTCTTCAAAATATTTATTTATTTTTTGGAAACAGCATAAAAAGATGGGACCTGCTCTCTATATTTACTGGGGAGTCTAAAGTTACATTGAAAAAACTAAATCCAACTCAATGGTCTGGTAGACTGCAATCATTAACAGCTCTAAAAGTTCGATTTACGGATATTTTAAAGGCTTTGGCTAAAATAATCCGTTATTGACCAAAAAGGAAGAAAGAGAAGAAGCACTTCAAATAAAGAAAAAAATGGGGACATTCGATTTTGTTTTTATCCGTGTTTTTTTATTTAAGGTAATGTGCGATGTTAATTATGCTTCAAAAACTTTACAAAAACAAGAAATAGACTTTGAGGAAGCTACTGAAGTTTTGAAACACGTTCGTGAAAAGTTAAATTACATTAGAAATTCATATGAACAAATCAAATTAGAAACAGAAGAACTGGCACGAAAGTGGGACATCGAAACTAATTTTCAATCAAAAAAGCAACCAGTGAAAAAGCGACATTTTGATGAATTGGCTTCAAATCATCGGTTTCAGAACAGAGAGCAATTGTTTAAAATGAATGTTTTTTATTTTGTATTGGAAAAAATCAGTGTCCTAATTGAACAACGTTTTTCGGGAATGCAAACCGTGAAAAACCTTTTTTGCTTCTTAGAACCTAAAAACATAATAAATTTGCCTGATACAGATATGTTAGGTATGTGTGAAAATGTTTCCAAAATATATTCGAAAGTTATCTTTCCTCTATTTAGTAATCAATTTATGCAAGCAGTTTCATTGTTGAAAACAGACTTAACATCAAAAATGTCAATTAAGCAATTTTCAGATTTACTCCTTACTAAGTACAGTTGCTTAGAAAGTGAGTTTTTAGAAATATATACAGTTCTAATGTTGTTCTTTACCCTACCAGTAACTGTGGCTAGCATTGAAAGATCTTTTAGCAAATTAAAAATAATAAAAGACTATAAAAGAAATTTTATTGGTCAGAGTAGGCTAAAAAAACTAGCGATACTAGCTATTGAACACAAAGAAGCAGCACAAATGGATTTTAAAAAATGAATATGCAGTTTTGCAAATGCAAAAGCTAGAAGGAAAAATTTTAAATAATTAAAACATGTGAGATTCATTATTTCTTCGTTTGAGAGTTGGTTATAAAATGCTTTATATTTAATATTGCATATGGTATACCTTTTCTCTCTTTATTTACTGAAGTTTACATTTTATTTAGTATTTTATAAATATGTTTTTTGAAGCAAAATTTTTGTATTATTCCTATAAAATTATTTTGGAAATATTTTAGTTGGGAGGCCCTTGCACTGGTTTTTGTCTCAGGGCCCAAAATCCCTAGCTACGCCACTGCTCTCAACTCTATAACTCCAAAACACGAACCTTGGCAAACAAGGCCGCTGGGCGAAGAAACAAGTTGAGCACGATACTACCAGGGACATGGTGGGGAACAAACTTAGAACCTCTCGTTTATAAAGCGCGTGTTTTACCAATTCACCACAATCGCATCATGTAAAAAAATATTACAAAACATATTTAGCACTGTAGGCATTTTAATGTTTTATTAGTTGTGCTAGTTGAAGTGCAGTTATGCAAAAAAAAAAAAAAAAAAGTTTGTATGAAAAATATTTTTAAGTAAAAAAAATAAAATTTTTAATAAGCTAAGGGAATGTTGCTATTAGTTATAATTGCCTAAAGTTTTTTAAAACAGGAAATGTTAGTTAAAAGTAACATGCTTTTGTTTATGCAAATTACTTTCATATGATAACAATTTTTTATCACTGTTAAGTTTTAAAAATGCAAAAAGCTGGAAAAACGGTTCCATTATTTTATCATTTCTTTGCTGGCAACCCTTCACATGGTTGTCTGTGACTGAGGGTTGAGGCTGGCCAGGCTTCAAAGTCAGATTAGGGTTAGGGTTATGACAAGGTTTAAATTTGATTATATTATTGTAACTAATCATTTTTGTAAAAAGATAAAGATAAAAATGAAATAAACAAAAAATAAATAAATAAAAATAACAAAAATTATTATAAAAACAATATTTTTGTAATAAAATAAATAAATAAATTTAAATATGTATAAATAAAAATAAAAATAAAATATTAATTGAAAAATATATAAAAATATAATAAAAATAGTATAAAAAAAGTAAAAAAAAACAACAGAACGGGAAAAAAAACAACATGTCCATGAAAGTCGCCAACTAGGATGCAATATGCGGGTCAAATCACTATATTTCAACCAATTTTGAGAAAACTTTGTGGAGCGCCATCTCAGATTTTGCTGATTTTTACATATCATTATCTACATTATGTAGATAGGTTAAGTTTGAAGTTTCAGACTTCCAAGTGCAACGGTTCAGAAAATATAGCTTCATAAACAATGTGCAGTGGCCCTCCTCGATTTAAGAATTGTAAAAACAGACTTCTTTAATGCCTCATAACTTTTTCTCATTTTTCAACATGTGACTAATTTTTTCTAGAAGTGTTTTCTGGGTAGTTCTGTGTTAAAAATACTGTTTTTTTTAACTTGTATCGTGTTATAAAAAATTTATAACCTCCCCAACTTCGAAAAAAATTTTAAAAATTTTAAAAAAGGCCAAAATGAAGTTAACTGTAATAGTATTCTATTCATCAACAAGTCCTTACAGTTTAGTTTCCTGATTAGCTACTATTTTCTACAACAAATAGACAAAAATCAAGCCGCTTGTTGCTGTTTAGAATTGAAATATATCTAAAAATGTATTTTCCATTCTCCAAAAAAATCCCATTTTGAGCTGAAATGCTCATAATTTTTTCTTACACTTTGTATTGATCTAAGCTTAACAGCAATTAAGACCATATGATGTAACTATCTGAAAACGCAAACATGCTTTACTTGTTGCATTCACAACAAAAATGCCAGATTTTAAAATAACCCTATTTTTTAATTATTATGGGTTGTGCGCATACTTAGAAACCAGCGCCCCCCCCCCCAACTTGCCTTATAGTATTTTTAATTGGTGCAAACAACCATATCTTTCAAAAAATGAAAAATTTGGTTGATTGCCCCTATGCTGATCTGATTTTTATTTTGGGTAGGGGCTCAAAATAAAGGGACAATGACTAACTAAAACTCTGTAATATTGGTAAATAGTGATACTTTAAACATAATTTACACATTTAAGGAATTTTATATTTCAAAGTCAAAGACCTTTATTGTTTTACATAATTAATGTTGAGCAATTTTTCATAAGAATTTCATAATATATCAATGGGATATTCATGATACATCAGGGGGCATAAAAATATAATAAAATATTACTTCTATAATAAAAATAAATAATAATTATTAAAGGAAAAGCTCAAATCTTGTTAAAAACCACATTACTTATTAGGTTTGGTTTTTACTTTTTAATTGATAATTTGTTGCTGATGTTTAAAACAATTAATACAGTATAATTTATTTAATCTTTTTTTTATTATCAGCAATATTGATGTCAACATTTACTGACTTTTGAGTATTAATGCAAGTATCATCAACATGTGAAAAATATCAAATGTTGTGCAATATTGATGTTACATAAGCTTTTAAACAATGGGATAAGATAGCTTTTAAATAATGGGATAAGGTGAGAAACCATGATATGAGTTGGTTCCCTTAAAAGCAGGAACATGCTTAGAAACAAGCTTAAGTCATTTAGCAGATACTTCATTAGTGTAACAGCTGTTTTGTTTTCACAAATGATGAGAAAATTAAAAAAAATTTTAAATATAATCTTACAACCCAAGAACATAATTTTTAGAATGCATTTAGTAAGCTCTAGTGTTAAAGTACCATTTTCTCTAAAATTTTCCTTATAAAAGACTTTTATAGCAAAAAGTTCATTGTTTGTTTTATAGGATTCACTTTTTATAACTAAGAATAACATAAGCTCTTTTATTTGTTTTAATTAAAAGTCCATAACAATATATGATAAAAGACATCAATTATTTGAAAAAATAAAGAAAGTTCACGTGCACTTAGACAAGAAAGTGCAACAACTGACATTTTAAAAATTTTCCTAACAACTAAAAACATGTCCTTTGGAATCAAAGGACCTTAATTTCTCTTTTCACTGTACCACCTACTCAATCACATCGATCTGCTTTCAGCCCAAATTTTTTTCATGAAAACAAATTTTTCAATGAAAACATTTTTCATGAAAACAAGTTTTTCAAATTAAATTTATAACACATTAAGAAAAAAAAAATTCAAAAAAAAATTATTTGATAAAAAATTATTATCCTATTTATTCTATAGCAAATTTGAAAAGTATCATTCAAATAACTTAATATAGTTTGTTTAAAATTGGTAAATCAGAATTTTTTGAATGATATTAATCAAAAAATAAACCTTCCAAATTTTAAACTGGCTAACTGTAACATCAATTATTTGAAAAAACAAAGAAAATTCACGTGCACTGAGACAAGAAAGTGCAATATGATATGTTATGAAGTTCTTGATATATTATGAAATTCTTATGAAAAATTGCTCAACATTAATTATATAAAACAACAAAGGTCTTTGACTTTAAAATATAAAATTCCAACAAAACAACAAAGGTCTTTGACTTTGAAATATAACATTCGTTAATTGTGTAAGCTATGTTTAAAGTATCACCATTATGTTTAAAGTATCACCAAGTATTTACCAATATTACAGAGGTATAGTTAGTCATTGTCCCTTTATTTGAGCTCCTATCCAAGTTGAAAATCAAATCAGCATGGGGGCAATCAACTAAATTTTTCATATATATATATATATTTATACATATTTATATATATTTATATATATGTATATATATATATATATACATATATATATATATATATATATATATATATATATATATATATATATATATATATATATATATATATATATATATATATATATATATATATATATATATATATATATATATATATATATATATATATATATATATATATATGATATATATATATATATATATATATATATATATATATATATATATATATATATATATATATATATATATATATATATATATATATATATATATATATATATATATATATATATATATATATATATATATATATATATGTGTGTATTTATCTAGTTATAAATGCTGATCCTAATCGAAACGCCAGTAATAGTAGACGCAACTCTGAGGAGATGTTTATTACTTTATCACTACACAAATTATGTTTACACATTAGCATAAATGTTTTTTTTTAATTATTAAATGCCTATCATTGTTGTTGTTATTAGATAATTTATTTTGTGATCCGTTTTTTGTTTTACAATTTTTTGTCTGGTGATATGTCTTCGTTTATATTGGTGTTTATTAAACAATTTTTTTTTTTAATTTGTTTTTAAATTTATTTTTATTGTTATTATTGTTGTGAGTGTATAACTGTCAAAATATGCTTTGTCTAATAAATAATTCTCCTTTATTCTAATGTACTTCATTTCTTCCCTCAGGTGTTCACTGCTCGTGTGTGACTATTCGGCGAATTTTATATGTCAAAGTTTTGAAATAATATTAGGCCTAGCCCGTAAGGGTTAGTGTTACGGTCATCTAGCACGACTATTTTCCTAATCGCAACTACTGTCACCGCGAAAGAGGATGTTTGTCTGTGGAAGATGCCTGGGCTAGCTTTTTAGTCATAAGTCAGTTCTAAATCCATGCATAGGTGTTTAATCCATCATGGTTTTCTGGGGTATGGCTAGACTAGCTTGGTTTAGTTCAGAGACATATCTTTTACGCTGGTTACTAACAATACAAGACTTTACTGAGCAACATAAACAGCACAGACTTATGCATTACACCTATACACCCTTATGCACATACAGCCTGTTTACATCGTTTGCATGCTTTTTGTTCTTTCATAGATAAACTATTTTTGTTTGAACTCATACTTATTTAAATAATATTTTCTTTTAATAGATAATATGTGGTTAAATTGTTGATATAGATTTGTATGTTATCTATAAGTGTTAATCAAGTGTGATTGAGTTTTTCATTTAAGGATTATGTA